CGCCCACATGTTGCGCGGACTGTTAGAGACTTCTGTTCAGCACAACGCATGCAACTTCTTCCTTGGCCTGCTTATTCGCCGGATATGTCGCCTATTGAGCACGTGTGGGATATGGTTGGTCGGCGTCTCACTCGTGATCCGCGTCCTGCAGTTTCCAAAGACGAACTTTGGTTGCGCATACAAGCGATATGGAATTCTCTTCCTCAAGCAGATATTCAACATCTGTTTGACTCCATGCCACGTCGTATAGCAGCACTTATTGCAGCGCGTGGTGGCTGCACCAAATACTGATTTCGGACGCTTAATTTGTTTCTTTTGTTTTGAAAATTTCATCATTTATTTGTATCAGTACAAGTCGTTTCTGCATTAAATTTCATTTGATTCTGATGATTCTTTCATGGTGTTGCATTTTCTACAAACAGCAGTTTATATATATTACGAAATATTTCTTTTAAATTATTTTTTTAAATTATTAAAATAAGTTCTAGAATTCCCCTCAGAAGAATCATGAAGGGGAGACGGTTGGGCATATACCAATGATGCTAAAACTGACTTTTTTTGATATACCTTTTCTCAGCATCTTAACAAGATATTGTTTCAGCTTTTTTTTTTTCACAAAATATTTACATTTACATTAAACTGTGAATACTCTTAATACAAATATTTAGCAGAAATTTTTTTAAAGCATTATGAGTGGAGAACCTTCAATTTTTTTAAGAAGTTTCATCAAAAATCTTTCGTTACTTAAAAAGTGTTCCTGTTAATGCTAAAGCATTATCCCATTACTGATATAATTTCAAATATCCCAATAAGTAGATTCCTTTAAAAGGTACATCGAAAAATGTCAGTTTTCGCATTTTTGATATTTGCCTAATCGATTTCCCTTAGATTTATCGATTATCGATTCTCTTATTATTATCTTTCCTTATCGATTTGTCATCATTGTATCGGGCAAATTTGGCGAAAAAGTGACACTGATTTCAATAGAAAATAATGTTAAATACGTAAAACGTTAAATACGTACGGAAAAATAATGTTAATATACGTTTAAACGAATAAAAAAAATACTTTTTAATAAAAACATTCACAAATTTGAAGAAGTGATGAAAGTTCCTTATTTTTTATGCATAATGATCCCATAATTAGTTAAAAATAAGATGAAAAAATTAGCTGGCATTTCTCTTAGGATGGTTTGAATAATAAAACTTTCATTTTGTTTTAATTTCCTATGAAAAAAATAACTACTTGACAATGAGGTGAAGTTTAAGAAAATGTATAAGAAAACAGTCTCAATCGAGAAAAACTGGGAAAACACGACCAACTGCTTTAGCTAATCTGAATTAAATTAGTAAAAATTATTTTATTTTGGAAAGTAAACAACTTTTATATTTTTTATCTATGCAGAAAAGTATCAGTTGTATTTAAGAGTTAATACATTAAAGAAATAGAAAATTATTTTCAATCCATTAATGAATTCTTACACAAAATAAATTTTAAATTAGAAAAATATGAATTTTTCAAAAAATCGAGGTAAGTTATGCACATTTTTAATTCTTATTTTGTTTCGTTGAAATTTTTATTTTCATTTGTACTTTGTCCACTTACTTCTGCAATCCTCATGTTATATATTGTGGAGCATGAGGAGTTGTTTAATAAAACGTAATTTTTTAAAAAAAGTTATACACATATATTTTCTCGCACATAGTTTAGAAAAATTTATTTTAAAAATGTTTGTTTGGATTTATAATAAAGTATTCACTCAAACTTCCTTCACTTGAAAATTTTAATAGTGAAATTTAAACCGATTTTTCACAAAATACCATGTAATTAATTTCTTAACGAGAGGTTTTAATGAATTAATTAACATTTTTGGTTATTTTGTCCTTTTGATTTGAATACATTAAAAATCAAGGCAAAGATTGCAAGATTTTCTTTTATAAAAAGGGGAAAATATGCTGCGAAACCTAATCGAGTCAAAAATGGAAAAGAAAAATAATTATCTGTGAAAATGTAAGCATATAAAGAAAAAGTAAAGAAAACAGTTGTATTCTGCTAAGGAAACTAAATTTTTTTCTGAAAATGTTAAAATTATTTACAGAGAATGTTAACAGGTGACGTAGTGAATTAATTATAAATTGAAGTAGTCAATCAATAATTATTATTAATTAACAGATCAATTAATTATCATAAACATTAAAAAAACGCTGTTATTAGCAATAATATGGTGTTGTTTGAGGGTAAAACTAACAGTCGTCCATATTTATTTAAATTAAAATGGTCTGACATGAAACAGAAAATACCAGTAAACAGCGCCATCGGTTGACTATTTTTGTAACTAATTTTGAAAAGTGAGAACAAGGAAAAAGCTGCAAGTTTGTTTCCTAAACTGCATACAGCAAACCCAACTTCTGTATGTCCTTCCGTTTTTCTTTAACGGGCCATTAAGAAGAAACGGTATATTATTATTGAAATAATTAAACAAATTAATTTGTTCTCAGTAAAATAATTTCATTATGAAAGATAAATTTCTACGGCGTTTAACAAAAACAATTAAATTTTTTTGGACATATTTTATACACACAATACTTAAGAAATAGAATCAGGATGGGAGTACAGCTTTCATAGATCTCAAAGTAAATCATCCGTCAAGTTTTCTTTAAAATGATCATGTTTCGGCATTATAAATGATTAATGACTTTGCTTTGGTAACTGAAATATTTCTTTCATAACAACGATTTTTCAATAAGATTGATGAAAAATAACTTGGATTCCTTTCCAAACATAATCATTTTCTACACGTAGTAGAATTTAGAGCCAATATATTTCATAAATTTAATTCTGAAATCTTTTTATTGATTTTTTTAATCGTTATTGTGCTCTAAAGTAGATAGAGTATCGTATAATATATATTGTGATTTTTACTTTATATTTTACAGTGTGTATCATTTATATCTATGTCTATCTATCTATCTATCTATCTATCAATCTATATATATATCTATCTATCTATCTATCTATCTATCTATCTANATATATATTATACATTACCCTGTAATAAAGGAATAGATTTTTTTTTTATTTCTCATGAAATACTTGAAAGATTATTTTGTTACTTTAAATGTAATTAGTTCATACGAATTTTTATACTTGGTAATAAGGTTTGAAACTTTTCACAAACTTTTTTTCAAATTTCAAAACAATAATATTGTGACAATTTTTTTAATTGTTTAAACAATCTTGTTTAATTTTACTGAATATTTTTACAGTTATAGGAAAAATATACTAGACAATTTTTTTTTATTTTTAAATAAAAGTGTCCATATTTCCATAAATATGCAAGCAAGGTTTATGAAGCTTTATGCAGTTATAAAAGCCAAAGTAATCGATATCAGTTATAAGTTTCTTGATGATGCATTCGATGACTTTTAATAATAAAAACTTTTAATAGTAATAGCCATCCCGCTATTAGAATTTTCATTCTAAAATACGTTAAAATATCTGGCAGCAGTCTACCCATCCAATTAACCTTAATGTTTA